GACACCAACCTAACTACGCAGCTGTTCGATCGACACTGTCTCTCCTAATCCTCGGGCTCGGTGTATTCTCCAATCTTCATCCATTGCTGCGCGGCTTCTCTGACTTGATGGGTGATGCGCCGACACGTCATGACTAAATAGGTTTTCTTTGACAAACGTTTTTGTGTTGCAGGAATACGGAAAGTGGTGCATGCTGTTTCAACCGCGGCTTAAAATGGGCGGAATTTGACGATTGCCGGCATCTGAAGGCATTACGTATAACTCAAACAATGAGTTTATGAAATAAAAGACAGATTTATGAATTACATTTTGCCTTGAATAAAAAATGCAACAAAGAATTTAGAATTTACTTGCGCTTAATGTTTACTAATAATATGCAAGATGTATCTGCCCTACCGCCAGTTCTCTTCGCATTTCACGTTGGAGCGAATTTTTTCGACCCAAATTATTTTATTAAATTAGATAGGAGCACAAATATAGGTCGAGAGGAAGAGAATGGAAGAATATTCTTTGAACAATCGCTTCAACCGAGAGGAGAAACACTAGGATAGTAACGAGCCATGTTATCTAAATAAAACACTTTTATTTCAATGGACATTCATAATGTACTCTATGGTAGCCTTACTTGTCACTCAAATATACATATCAATTTTAGAAATGGATTTTCAGGCGGTCAAAAACATACATGTCCACGCAGCTATAGAGCGTTTCTTCTTAACGTTAAAGATTTTTTTACAGTTGAACATTTCGAAAGGATTTTGGCTTACAAGCTATTAATATTTACATGTATTATCAGCGAGTGGTCACTCACGGGGAGAAATAAACTCATTTATTTTGTTAAAGCCTGGATGTTGTCACTCCACGCGGCATCCTGCATTGTTATCAAATGTCACTCGTGGTGGGCTGCGGTGGTAAATGCTCGACATTATTCTATAAAGTAAGAGAAAATGACGCAGGGAATTTTAAGAGATATCTTTTGCAGCATGAAAATACAGAAATAAATCTAAGTATAGAAGAGAATATAATTCTCATTAAAGATTCATGGAAATGAATAATACAGTAAACAGTAAATGATGCAGGTCAGCCATGATTTATGAAAGATGTACCAATTCGATCGGATTAAATAAGCAGTCATAACTTCTACAGGACACAAGGCAGAGGTAACAATCAAAAACTGCATCTCACAAATGGACCAAATATCGCTTGTTCAAATAGAAGGAGTACGAAACTAAGATTTAAGATTGCAGAAATATTACCCGTTGTGATGCTAGACACTAATGAATGCAACGCTCCTGCTATGTCGCGAATACGAACACTCGAATTATTAAACTAATTATTATACGAATAGTCGATTTGCATTGCTTGCAAGCCTGATGGTGCAAAAATTTGCATTTAACTTTGAAATGTAACAATTAATGACTGCATTAAATCAGATGCTTTCAATATCAAGGGAAACGAATCCGATGTTCCAATAGAAGTCCTGATTAAAAATGTCGAGGACGACATAAAATTTGCCACTGTAATTTAAACCTAATGGAAGAGACGGGCAACTTCTAATTGAAACGCTGATAATAAAGCAAACATTCTTTAGGATTTGAGGTTTTTTATTCCGTTCCGTATGAATATACCAGCTGAATAGTGATTTTAATAGCTGGTGATTTTGAGGAGGTTAGGTGAACAGCGGGACCGTCTCCAATAGAGGGCCAACGTACGCATATTTTATGAAGTTAATTATTGACAACTTGTGCTTAACTTTACTCTTCTACATTATTAAACTACCGATTAAGATAACACATTCCATTATCAAAAAATATAAATTTGCTACTCCAACTCAACGTCTGTACATAGCAGTATGACATCCAAGGAACTTATCACTCGGCTCATGTAGCGTCTACGTTGCAACGTTCACTCATCTTTTTAATACATCAGAAGAAAGATAGTTAGCTGCAATAGAATTATAGGACCTTAGGTTAGTAGTGGGACGTGGAGCGATAGTTAAGTTCTGATAAAAATATGTTCCTAATAGAGATTTTTGAACATGTAGTTTCGAATAAAGATTTTTTTAGCTTTTGGACATATGTAATAATTGAAAATGCATCTAAACTCGCTTCTAGAAACATGTAAATTTTCCAATGTTCAGTGATATTGTATAACAATGAATGTTTGCAATAGCCAGTTTGTACGTCAAAGGATCATGGTTTAATTAACCTACCGTTTCATACCTGAATTTATATACAATTTAATATATACTAATATCGGTCAAAAAATCTTTAGTTCAAATCAATTTTTCTTGTTTACACTCACAACAACTACACCTGAACGTAAGATAAAGTAGAGGAAAGATAGAATAAGCCTAAATAGCTATATGCTAAGTCACAATATAACGCGAAAGGCACTTGCGAACATTAATTTGTCTTTCCTTGTACACTATAAATCGCGACCATCTTTTCGTATGAGAATGGATCGAAATTTGCACTTGCATGAAAGATGTGCCAGGCCACAGGGTTAAATGCGGTGCACGCATCTCTTAGTTTTGTTATAGCTTATGGTAACGATGTACAGTGTGTAAGGAGCTCGAGACGGATCATTATTAAGCTAAACGTTTACTTGAGAGCAGACACTGCGACTCTCAAGCATTTCTTAGTCAAAAGTATGAGGAGAAGAAGGCTTCACCACAGCTAGACAAGCAATTGATGAAGAATGGTAAGCGTAAGTACTAAGTTGTAGATAGAACAATATAAAATATTCATATGTGGAAAAGAACTCTCCGCAAGACAACTCGTGAAACAATTGGAATGTAAACATGCAGACCTATCAGAATCGCATGGATGTGTACGAAATAAAGCTATTTAAGCGTCAACAAACATAGAGACTTGTCAACATTTTTACTTGCATGAGGAAACACAACCTAGAATGAATAACAAACAAACTGCCGCTCGGGGAGGGATGTCACAGCATGGCTATACAGAATTTCTGCACACAGAAACTTAATGAAGTGCAAGGAGATGAAAACTCAATGTCTAATTTAACGTATTGAGGGTCCAAGTCGAAAAATACACACGTAAGCAGCACATGCCACTTATGAATTATTTCACACATTGTAGATTATACTCGAGCTAATTCCGCAGATTAGTCATTTTTGTGGATTTTATCATAACAAAACAACATGTTAGGTATCCACTAGGATTGAAAATCCAGTAACATTGAGTGAATTTTAGACAATTTTACATCATAAAATACATAATCCCAAATACATAAGTCAATAAATTCTGCTTAGTTAGTCATAACATTTAAGTAAGTAATTTTGTGTCATCTAGAGTGGAATAGCAAATTTATTCCAGATTGCACATAATAACAATAACTATCTATATATAATTATAATTTCTTCAACGTAATTTGTAGATTCACTATCAAACTAGAAAAGCTTCAGTAAAACAATTCTGATAAAGTCTCTTTTTCTCTCTCAATAATTCATAGACTCAACAGAATTAGACCATCACACAAATTAGGGCTTCCGAGGTAGCCAATAATATTGCACATTGTATAAGAACCTAATCAGAACGAACCAAAGCAGGGGAATCTCCTTATTTAATGAACAATAAATTTCTTATAACAATTTTAGAACAAACAACTGGAGTATATGCAGGCCCTGAATTATTCTCTTCTTTTTCACAGGATTTTAGATGCGATCGAGGTATTCCTTCACTGCCAGTGGTCGCTAGGAGATTGAACATGAAATGTAACAACTAAGAGAGCAGATCTCCTAAAGCAACTGAGAATCAAAGGCACCATTATTGAAGCGTTCATCTGAATTAAGTGCTAAAACTCGTGTATCTCTCAAAACGAATTATGAAAAGCAAATCGAAAGATTTTATTTTCAACTGTACATGAGAAAAAATTATTATTCATGGATGCATGAACATGAATTAGATTAGATAATCATTGACATGAAAAGGCCTGAAGAAATGCCGAGTGTTATCCTCCATTTCTACGAAGAATCGCCACTATTCCTTGAAGGTAAAAGGAATTTTTCAATTGTAATTGACGATAACCAAAACCAACCCTCATCACCCAATCGGACGAAAGCAAGAACAAACGCCGAGCCTATGTGGCCGTAGAGAATAACTGAACGGTTGTCAAAACAAACCTTCCAAGAAGAGCCGTCATCTCTAACCCTAACATAGTAATAAAGTGCACGCTGAGATCAAGGAGTGACACACATTGCTGAATGTTCTAGCAGTTTCAAACTTTACCGGAGGTAACTCATTTCATTCCTTAAAACTACAAGGCAAAATTTTGAAGCCTTTTGGCAACAGTATAAAAGCTTTCAAATATCATCATGGGCTTACAGATTCACTATTTACAGTATATTGTTGTTGTGCTGAGAGAACGTGCGAATTTCACTTCTTAGTTATCGCACTTTTAATAAACAATAAAAGATCACAAAGCAACACACACACAAAAAAAAAAAAAAAGATGTGACATCGAGTCAATCTTAACTAAAATAATTTCTGGTAAAGTGAATGATCCACCAGGGCATGGTGAGAAACCAAAACTTATTTACAGTGTTAAGATCATAAGCTTAAAACATTACACAGAGTCGCCACAGTCGTTGTATCCACAACAGAAGGGGATAAACTGTAACGCTCTCAATGAGACGCAACGTCCAATTTTGGGCGTCTCTTTGCTCTCGCCTCCGCGTACTTTTTTTCTCATTTCGTAATATTATTCCGGGAGTTATAATATTTAGTAATTTATTATACTACTCTAGCATTTCTCAATTTGTGATTCCAGTTTTGTAGTTGTCAATATAGATGCTGAAGAAAGAAATTCTGCAAAATGAGAGTCCTAATGAAGTCAAGCACACGTGACGGAAATAAAAATAATTTTCAATAACTTTCGGGAACGCAGAGCACAAAAAATATCAACAAAAAATTCGGACTGATGTTTTCATTAACAATACTGCTCAATTAACAGAAGTTTTTACATAAAATATGAGCAAGTGCATGAGATTGATGGACGTTTATGAAAGAAAGAGGAGAGAAGGTGGCTGCTGGGGCAGGTTTTATCTGCGTTTGGTGTGCAGCATTTCCATGAGCAGCGTCTGAGTGGACGAGCCGCTGTGCATCATCTTCAGGTACAGGAACTTCTCGCCGCTGTCCGCAATAAAATGAATGTCCGATATGAGCGAAAGCAGCTTCTGGTACCGGTCCTGAAATGAGAAATGACATTGAAAGCAATTGTATTTTGCGTTGCTCATGGGGCCAAAAATAATTGATACGCAATAACAAGAATTACGTTGGAATATTATTGAATTTGAGCACCAGTCCATAATAAGGCTGTTGATTACTGGCGCAGAATCGGAGTAACAATTTCTTAACGTCAAAAAACATTTAACATGTATAAAATTGTATTTAACCATCTAATTTCACTTAATAATTGTGTACAACTATTTGAAGGTCTTATACACCTAACGTCGCTCAGAAACTAGAGATATGACTAACTCAGTTACACGTACTTGAATGGAACTAATAAACAATTGTAATCAAGAGAGTTGACCTGGGCGGTGGCGGCGCCGTAGCTGACGACGCAATATTCCATCATAGCGTTGCGCACTTGCATGGCAGCCTCGTCGACGCTCTGCTGGTCTGTGAGCTGTCTGTTGTCTCGGATGCACGGCTCTGAAATGTGAACTTTAAGTCAGATCTGCAGGGTACTTGATGTACATATTACACGCAACACTTCAGCAACAGAATAGTAATAGAATAAAGATGCGATGCTAGTTAGAATTGGCAGCACATGGAATGATGTAACGTTATAACGGTTACATAAAATTGACCACACCGAGCGAGAACGACATTTAAAAGGATTGAAGTACGTACAGATGAAACGCTATAAAAAGTGAAACAGAGTAGGCATCGAAGAAGAAAATCAATCACAAAATCGCATGGTCATGCATCGCAGCAGGCACACTTATGTGAAACGTCAGTATAATCCATAATATGATAATGTATGAGAAACAATCGAGAAATGCATTCGTCTCAACTCCATCTTGTTGTAATTTAAGCTTATTTTTTCAAGTTTATGAAGAACGTCAAGATATTTCATTGTTGGTTGAATAGGTTGATCATCAGAAGAGGCAACTCACAAGAATTATAAGCAAAGATGACATATAACAAACAATAAATATCTGAGGCATGCCTCCTCACGACGTAACACGATGAGAAAAATGCAGGTAATATCATCATTACATCAATGTTAATCATTTCAGTTTATATGGACTCGACATGTGCGGAGAAAAACGGTTAATACTTGCAATGTTCTTCAATAAAGATGAATACTTTTGGTTTGCAAGTTTTTCATGAATTGCGTAAGTTTAAGTAGCAAGCGACATGAGTACATGACGACCACAGCTTGGTTTGTCTACATTTGATCCCACCTCGGCAGCCAGTTAGGGTGGGTGCGTGAAACAAAGATCAATCCTTCTCCTTGTGAAGGATTGCGCTGTTAACATGAACTACAAAAAATAGACTGCCCTGTTTCTCGAATTGAAATACTAAATGCAATAAATTTGACTAATGGATAGCATGATTTCACTATTTTCTAAGGGGTGCACAGCACTGACAGCGCAAAAAAAAAGAGTACCTCAACACTCTCCAACAAAGTAATTGTTGAAATTTCTTCGGCAAGTGCTACCTGCTAGTTAAATCATTCGTCAAGTAAATGTAAGATAATCCACAATGTAAGCTGGTGAAAGATAAATGAGGTACGTATCGCGACGATGAACTGAGTGTTGCCCCAGTCAGGTCATTACTGGTTAATCTTGAATAGCAATGTCAAGCAAAATATCTTTATTAACAATAACTGCGTAACGAGATTTAATCCCTAGGTCAACAAGGCAATAAATTATGAATTTCAAACGTTAGATTCTGTAAAAAACGTGTCAAATGAAGCTTATTGTAGGACGTGATTTTTAACGTTTGGTATCAGCAGTGATGGCGAGCAAGATTTCAATCGGATACCAACCTGAGTTAAGTAGGAGAATAAATTTGATGAGTATATATTCAGAAACATCGAGTTGCATGTCTTCCATTTTTGACAGCAGCTGATGGAAGTTCTGCTCGTACTGATCAGTGCCGAGCAGCGCTAAGTTGAGCAGGTTGAACTTCTGGCCGTTAGGGAGCGACATGTCGTTCTGTAACAACAACAAAGTTAACGCAAAGCAAAAACTCAAAAGACACATGTAGCTTCAGAAAAATCGTTCTTTTTAATAATTAATAGAAAATAATGTAATACTTTTTTCATTGTTGAATAATTTGAAATGAATTTCTGGATTAACATTACGAATTTCAGATTGTTGCCTCATATACGAGTTAGATATGGCCGGCTAATTGGTAGACGAATTCCAAATGACACAGGACAGTCTTTCTATTACTCACGGCGTTGAATGCGAATTAAAAATTCTGAATTAAAACCCATAAATTGGTAAAATTACGTTTTACAGGAAAAATAATCCATTAAAATAATACGTTTGAAAGTTTCGGTAACCGAATAATCAACGTGACACTATACACTAAACATATATTATACCCAAACCTTTACTGAAAACTAAACATATATTATACCCAACCTTTTACTGAAACTCAGAGTCTCCTGGAGTTCATTGAAGTTTGATATTTACGGCCGGAAAATAGGCAGCAATTCCTGAATAGAATTACTTGCACTTTAATATTACCTAGCGGCTATAATTGTAATGTCCTTGGATAAGATGTTCCATAAATAATTCACGGCATGATTCACTCACGGCTATATTGTTATGTAACCGTTGATGGAGATGATCCAGAAGGAGCATATCCGACCAAGACTCTTGCAACAACTTCATTTGGTCATCAACCTGCGAAAATAAATCCCGTTACTTATTGAAAAGAATTTCATAACACCGAGTTATGAAATTCTTGGTAATGATAAGGGAGAACTTCATGACGATGAAATGATGTTCGTATAAAAGCCTCAATTAATAACAATACCGAAGTAAGCGATTAGTATTCGCACGGCAAGTGAACTGCACATAGACCTAAAGATCTTAATACTTCAATTGTCAACTACTTCTTTCAAACGCATTAAAAATATATATTTCGAGTACAGAAAAAATGTGAAAAAAGTACAGTGTAAAAAGTACAGAAAAATCGTGTACGTCGAGCCAACCAAAAAAGTCATGGGAAGACGGGAAGACTTACCCTGAGATCTTTGAAGAAGACGGAATTTCTTGCCCAGTCAACTTGGGCGAACAAAGACTGGTCCAAGACTTTGCACATAAGCTCGAAGAGATCAACTTCACATTGATTATAAGTTTGGTTTTGTAAAAGCCCCATGAGGGAATTGGTCCATTCAGCATCGTTAACTGCATTCAATAATTCACGAACGAGGTCGGGGATTCTATTGGTGTTTCTATTGAGAGATCTGCTAGTGACTTGTTGCGGGGAACCTCCGCTTCCTCCACCTCCTCCTCCGCCTGTACCTCCACCTCCTACGCCACTGCCAGCTGCACCAACCCAGAGAGCGATATTGTCTGGTGCGCCGAGAATGAGTCCTGAGGAGTTGTGCGAGGGATGGGACGGTCCACCGGAGTTCTGAAGAACCCTAACAGGTGCCGGTGAGGAATCTGGTGATGAGGTAGACGAAGAAAGGAAGGGACTCTGGATCTCTTCTTTGATATGTAAGCCACCCGTAGAATAAGAACTGAGTGACGTGTACTGGACTCCTGATGTCACAGGCGCGTTTCTAGACGGCAACAAATTTGGGTGCGTCATTTGACGCTGACGCAGCATCTGCAGCTTTCTCGCGCGGTCACGCTTGTACATGGGCCCGAACTTGTTCCTGCCTCCTCGCATCCGGTCCTGCCGCACAGCTGTCAAACACATGACTTTAGTTACATAAATCATAGATGTATAAAAAATTATAAACTCAAATTTCAGCGTCATGAAAATTAAAATGAATCGGCCATCAAAAATAAAAGTTAATCGATTCAGTATTCCAAACAGCTGAGAATATAACGCTCAAAAAGAATAAAAAATAGGATAATCCCTTGGGAAAGGTAAGTGGAATTAGGCTGACAGTTATCCTGATCCAAAATGACGAGGCAAAACTTCGAAACGAAGACCATAACTAATTTTAAATTTATGATTATTCGTACAGAAGAAACTGGCATGCCGCAAGTTGGTCTTAATACAAAAATATTTTCAAAATCTAATTCAGTCCCGAATAAAAATAGACCTCTGGCATGTAACTGAAGACATGAACACGAGTTGCGGTGATAATAATGCTCATTGACTAAGTATTGATAACTGACGCAAAATTTATCAGACAGCATGCATCTATAGAAGATGATTTCGTAATATTGAAAAGTTCAATAATTTCGAAAAGAAAAGTTCAATATTACGAAAAGTTTTCGTAATATTGAAACCAGTACTCATGTCACTATTAAAAAAATACACTTGCCAGCAATTCATAGGTATTTAATACAATCGCTGAGTTTTGGCCATTCGTAAGTTATGAGTTAGTTTAGTCGGATCTGAAAGGTCAAACTGGCCCTTGCTGGGCGGCAGCAAATGTCAGAAGAACTAACCGCCAATGGGTCAGTCAGAGAATTCAGTCAGTCAGTGAGTCAGTCAGTGAGTCAGTCAGTGAGTCAGTCAGTCAGTGAGTCAGTCAGTCAGTGAGTCAGTCAGTCAGTGAGTCAGTCAGTCAGTCAATCGAAGGTTCATCGGCATGTAATACCTGTAAGCAAGAAACAGATATTTGCAGAAAATATCTACCTACGCTTCACTACTAAAACATTTTCTTGCCGAAAATAAGCATAAATGAGTCTACATCAAATACTTTACATCGGACGTACAAATTTAATTTCCTGCGTGAGTTTGAACAGCTCAACTGTGTATAACTTCACACATTGCGCCCTAAGTTAAATTTTTAACGTGTTCATTTTAAAACAATAAGGCAGTCGTAAAATAATTGTTTCCATCATGGCAGCAATTTTAGCAGGATTTGTTACACTGGAAAAAATATGCAACAATATCAAGAAGCCTTCAAAAACCAATGCAGCAAACTGGTCATTTGTTCAGTCATCTGAGCACAAGACGCTTAGTTATCAACGCGCATTGGTGCAGTTAGTTGACTGCATTCGAGAAAATAAGTTAATACTCGCACTTTCCGTTAACTGAAGTAATCAAGGCCACGCTAGAATAAACTGGGCGATGCCGTATCCACGCGGAACTGAAATCTCCTCGCGAGCAAGTGCGAGTAATCTTACCAAAAATATTCTTTTTGTTGCTAAATTACGACCAAAATAGCACAATAATAACATTTGTAACTTAACCACGTAAAGCGAGGAAAGAAGTCAGTTGGGAGGATATATAAATGAATGATGCTGAATTCCAGTTTATTTAACGTTTAGAAATTTACGAGACGTCGTTAGAAGCTGCTCGTGTTCATCCTTATACAGAAAACTTGCATCATGAATCATGCATTACTGTCCACACTAGTCGGAAAACGCTCAAACTCTTCATAATATATTTTTACTAAAAACATAAATTACTCGCACCTCAAAAACATTAGACAACTTCCCTGCATGATAATTTCCTAGCGTGCATGCATTGCGATCGATCGTAAAAATTAATTCAAAGAGAATTTAAACTTTATCATCACCCAGAATAAAATCTAAAGATTACCTAAAACCGTGCAGCAAATTGACTTTTAGAGGTAAAAATACTGGATTAGTGATGATGACGTAACAGGAAGCTCGTCATCCCTGCCAATTTTGAACTGCTCTCACAGGAAATCGTTCACTGAACCTATCTAACTAAAGAATATGTCCATGCAGGCGGCATTTGATGCTGGCTTCACGATGCTGGTCACATCGTGCCGAGCGATACTCCGAATGTCATCGCGATCAGGCAAATCAACTAAGATGAGTCATTACGATTTAGAGGTCAATTACGGAATCGACTTTTAAACACTTGACAAAAGAAAAACAACTGAAATATCATATTTATTGTGAGAAATTTATTGGCCGTGGCTCATGTTGATTGCTCAATCTTAATAATCGATGGAGCCGTGGATTAAACGAGCCTGCGCAACGCCGAGCTTTACATGATCACAGGAGTCTAGAACCACTTCCTCAAGAATAAAATAAAAAGACATAAAAATTGAAAAAAAAAACATAATTTTAATTCATAGAACGAGCGCAGCAATCCTTATAATAAGGAAAGGCACGGTAATTTTTATGGTATGAAAATAAAAAAACAACGCGTGAAAACTTATTTTTGTGGCTAGAACAATGGGACATTTAAGACTGAAGCAGAAGGATTACCACGCTTCCAGGACGTCACGGTCCAAGACGCGCGCATGAGTTCCTTTCCAGGAGCTGCAACACTTACCCCGGCATTTCCGCCCACGGCTCTGCTTCCAAGCTACCGTCACATCGTCCTACCAATGCTAGAAAATCCCACAAATATCTGACAAACTATTTTCTTTACATAAACCGGACGAGAATATGAAATATATTTATTTGCTGTTTTGCACATCCGGTTAGAATGTTGCCTTATTGTTGTATCCACGCTACCGAGTCTCTCGCATCTCTTTCTCGCAAACGCGTCAAACACTCAAATACTCGAAACAATTTAAAAAATGAAATGAAATCTTGAATAGAATCATGAAGAAATTTTGCCAATATAACGCGAACTATATTTTTTATCAAAATTTAAACGTATTAATTTGTGCTTCAACTTTAGTCAACCATGCGTTGACTAAAGTAATAATATTTCGCCTGCTCAGTGCAATTAATTTTAAAATCTCACCAGATTTCACGGTTCTCCAAAAATCGATCGTTGAATGAATGAATAAAAATTGCTAAAAATAATTTCATCAAAGATTAAGGAATCAAGCATTTCAGTTGCAGCTAACGTTTTTTTTTTCTAATTTACTGGCACAATGCAGACCCATGGCCACAATTCGATGAGATTAGGTTTCTGAGACTAAAGGTCACTTGGATGCTTTTGAGATCTACCCTGCATGCCCGGCAACGTACAGTCCACATCCTGTACCAGCAAGTGTTGTATGTGGTACCATACTGTACCACATACAAACCCAGCAAGAAGTACAATGCGCCTGATATACAGGTGCATTTTTAATGCAAGCTCATTACATCGAGTGATAATATCAAGAATAAAGTGGAAGCAAATTTAAATAAAGAATCGTCTGGTTATTTTGGAAGATTTCGCTATGGGAGGCAATCGTAATTTATGGAAAAGGAACACATGTGACATGCAGCTAACAAACCGACGCAAAGTTAATCAAAACTCAAAGTGCAAGAGATAAGAGCAATTTGCATCGCACTAATAACAGCGATCAAATATTCTTCAACCATAGCATACAGCACATGAGCAAATCGGTGACCATAGTTAGTAAGAACCTCCTTTTTTATTTTGTGTAACAGAAAATATCCATAGAACGTTAGAAATTATTTCTTGTAAATCCGGCAAATTTTGCTCGGAAAATTCAGTGAATAAAAGAACACGGAACAAAACACACATACGACTTTTTGAACAGAACATATATGGACTATTTGTGAAGAAAACATTGTTCAGTAACATAAATTTTGCATGTGACTGTAAAGCAAAAAATAACATCGATCACTTCCTGTTCTTGAGGCCGTCTCGTGAGATCGATCTGGACAGAGCAGCAGCACGCCGAACATAACAGTATACCAGATACAGCTTTGATCCTCCCTTATTAGGTTTACGCGCTGCAGGACATGCAGGATATTCTTACACTACTACAGTATAACAAATTCTAATAAGTTATTAGTGAAACAATAGTAACTGAAAATCAACGATAAATACAAAAAAGCCGGATAAATTCTTTCTTCTCAGATGGGTTGAGCCACAGTTGGGTGTATCTGCTGGCTTCTATAGGAAACAAAAAACAGACGATGAATTAAGGTGATAGTGCCTGTGTTCTTGCACATGGAACCAAAACTTGATACGAAACTTTGTAGCCTGCGTGAGAGTAAAAAAAAAATATTTCTGGCATTCCGTAAAAGGAATACGATTAACGATAAGAACTTCTCCATAAAGTACGGTATTAAAGGGACATGATATCAATGACTCAACAACAACAAAATAAAAAGTGCGCAGAACCATCGAAATCGAGGAAAAAAAGCACTCAAAAATGAGAACAACAGCGGCGCTAATGCTAAGTATAACTAAGTGAAGACAAAGACCAGGAAAATAGTTCAATATATTCCATATGACAAATATGTGACAGAGCACGGAGGAGCGTGAGTCAGTGAGTCAGGGATGTTCCCCAGCGAACAGTAGTTTCGTGCCTGGCATTTGCCACGGCGGCTCAGGAATGCAGCGCCAATGTACAGAGCGGGAACAAGCAAGATTTATGCATTTTTTCTTAAATTCTTGAATCTAGACCAGATCAACCACACTCAAGATGAAGTAAAAAACTTCCATTGCCTGATGATAGAATTTTATGGGGAGCAGAAACGTTGCTGTGATGCAATGGATGAAGAATGTACAGGATATTTCATGGGAACATTATTATGGTGGATTTTAACAGCTTCCATGATAGTGAGAATAAACCGATTTTCAACTGTTGTTATTAACAATGAGTACATCTTGATTCTCTCGTGGAATGAGCACCATAATGTTTAAGGGAATAAGTCATAACAAACGAGAGCAACACAATGCAATATCTACGTTAATTTTATACTTTATAATGAAAATCCCATTATGCGCACTACTTTACATTTTCTTCCAATTTTTGACATGAAACAGGTAGTTAAGAATAATGTTCATGTATCAAGGCCGCTTCAATAATTTGAATTTTGAAGCAATGTTT